TGCAGGCAAACAGGAAAGGGGAGAGAATGGCTGGTGAAGGGGCAGGAGGGGCTCGGAGTGCACAGCTGAGGGCTGGCCTCTGGACTAAGCCTGTAGGAGGTCAGTTCACAGGGTGGGGCAGCATGAACAGGAAGTGCAGATGGTACCCTCAAGCCTGGGCCACGTACACTGATCTCCTCCCATTACTCAAACACCCCAACCTCAATCCTCCATCCCAGACTTTGTCCCCAGATATGGAATTGCATGTCTGGCTCTTTCTGAGCACTCAGATCTCAGCTCACACAGCCTTCCCTCCCCTTCCCGGCTAAAACAACAACCGCCCCACCCACTCTCTGTCACATTAAGGCTGTTTACTTCCTGTCAGGGCTATCACACCATCTGCGTTGAACTCCTGGATCTGTTTCCTGGTTCACAGTTTGGCTGCCCTGCAGGGCTACGAGCCCCTCTGGGGCATGTGGGCCATGTCTTGTTCACCATGATGCCCATGCCTGCAACAATGCTGGCATACAGTAGGCACTAACTTAGTGTGTGTCGAACGTGTGCTCAAATCTCCTTGTGTCCTGTGTGTCTCTTGCTTGTCTGATTCTGTGGATGGTCCCATGTGTATCCCTGGGAACAAGTGCAAAGCTATGGGTCAGTGAGTGTTTGTGTTGAGGGGCTTCTGTGTGGCTGTGACATTGGGAGGGATTACATGGTCACCAGTGTGTGAGTCAGTGTCTCCACGAGTGTTCTCAGCAGTGCCCAGCATCTGCCCTGTGTGTGTACATGTGTGTCTCAGTCCCTATGTCAGTGATGCTGACCCCACATGAGCAATCACTATGTGTGTGTCTTCCCATTCTTTCTGTGTGTCTGAATGACAGTGCATGTGCATGTATGAACCTGTGCCCATGAGCGCATGGGTCTATGTTTGCATCTCCTCATATGCCTTTCTGTGTGTGTCCTGCAGCTCCATGTTTCCAAGGCCCACACACCTATTGTGAGTGTGTGTCCTGGGGTGGAGGTGGGGTCTCCTACACGAGTGTGCACTTGTGCCTGCCTCCATGACTGTGTGTGACAGTGAGTGCTTGTGTGTGACCTTGAGATGTGCCAAGTGTGTGTGCATGCCTGTGTGCAGTGTTGTGTTGGCTCTTGGGTGGAGGGTGCTGATATATAGTTTGCCAGTTCCCATACTGTAAATATGCTCACTACCACTGGTATCAAGCCGCCAGTGTGGTGTAAGAGTGAGGAAGTGATGTGCTGCAGGGTAACATTCTATAATATTCCCACCCAACAGGCTAAGTAGACATAAATAATTTCAAAAAGAACATAACATCAGAATCTAGCAAGATAATTAGAAAGTGATGAATTTCTTATTGTGGTAAAATATCACTAACATAAAATTCACCATTTTAACCATTTTTAAATGTATAGCTTATTGCCATTAAGTACATGGTGACAAATTTAAATGGTAACTTTTCTTTTTCTTGAGACAGAGTCTCACCATGTCAGCCTCGGTAGAATGCCATGGCGTCACAGCTCACGGCAACCTCAAACTCTTGGGCTTAAGTGATTCTCTTGCCACAGCCTCACAGGTAGCTGGGACTACAGGCGCCCACTACAATGCCTGGCAATTTTTTGTTGTTGTTGTTGTAGTTATCATTGTTGTTTGGCAGGCCTGGGCTGGATTTGAACCCACCAGCCCCAGAGTATGTGGCTGGCACCCTAACCGCTGAGCTACAAGCACTGAGCCTATTTTTGGTTTTAATATTATAATTTATTTTTATTTTTAACATGCATTTATTTTTAATTGAAAAATAAAAGTTGTACAGTAGAACCTCTGTAAGTTGAGCATCCAAAGGACTGTAACAAACTGGTCAACATACAGAGGATTTTACCATAAGGAGCTAAGTCTTAGTGCATACGGTATTGGCCAGGCATGGTGGCTCACGCCCAGCACTCTGGAAGGCTGAGGTGGGGTGGATTGTTTGAACTCAGAAGTTGAAGACCAACCTGAGCAAGAGCAAGACCCCATCTCTACCAAAAATAGAAAAATTCGCCGGGCATCGTGGCAGGGTCTGTAGTCCCAGCTACTGGGGAGGCTGAGGTAGGAGAGTCTCCTGGCCCAGGAGTTTGAGGTTCTTGTGAACTAGGCTGACACTATGGTACTCTAGTCTGGGCAACAGAGTCAGATGCTGTCTCCATAAAAAAAAAGAATACAATATTATTATTAACTGTAGTCGCCATGCCATGCAGATCTTCTCCCGACTTTACCCCTGGCCACCACCATTCTACTATCTGTTTCTATGAGTTCAACTTTCTTAGATTCTGCATATAAGTGAGATCATGCAGAATTTGTAAAGAATTTATTTAATTGTAAATTTCTATAATTAATTTTTTTAAGGATGGATGCATTTAACAACTGGCTTGCAAAATTCTTGAATGTTTAGTAACCATCAGCTCTTGGGAGCCAGGTCAACCAGGGTACTGTGTGCCACTGTCCAAGTGATGGGTCTGCGTGTGGGGTTTGTGAGTGTGTGGGCCCAGCTGCATGTCAGTGTTTACACACACTCCTGTCTCTGGATGTACGTGTGGGTGTGCAAACACAGGCTGAGGTTTCTCCCAGGTCTGTGTATTCCTTGATGTGTCCTGTTTTTGTGTCTCTGAGCCTTGTGTGAGCCCCACACGCACCTGTGTATATGGCCTCATGTGTCTCCACACATAATGCCGCATTTGGACCCCTGTGTGTGACCAGCACTCCCTTGTCTCTGACTGTCAAGGAGCCTGTGTAGGCCACCTGAGCACCCAGGGATCTCTTGCATGCACTGTTCTACGGGGCCCATACATGGATACCTTTGTACCTGCCCCCTGTAGGTGGGGCCAGGAGAGGAGCCCATGTCTCTCTGCATGGACCAGTGTGCCTGAGTACTCACTCCAATGACGTGCTGGAGCCAGCTCAAAAGCCAACTCTAAGCATCTCCTCCCAAATTCATGCTGTCCTGAGAGTGTTTACACCAGAAGAATCAGCAAACATAAATCACAGAAGTGGTTGTTAAACATTTAGCAGCACTCATGTGGATCGACACACTTCCTCCTACCCACAGAACCAGGTGTGTTTCTCTCTCCCAGTGTGTGTGCCCACAAGCTGGCATGTGTTCACGTGTGTGTCTGAGTGCCTGTGTCTCTGTGGATACACGTGACTCGTGTGTCTCCGTGTCTCTGCACCAATGTGCCCGTGTGAGGCCCTCATACCCTGTTCCTCTTCAGCAGTTGGTTCCACAGGAAGCTGCTGGGGTAGGGGTGAGGGTGCCGGGCCTCTCCCCAGCTCCCCACCCCTCCTCTTCAGGCCACCTGCACACACAGGCTGAGAGTGGGGAAGGGTTCCCTGCTTCTGTAGCTTCTGTCCTCTGTGTTCTTCAGCCCCTGCCTTGGCCTGCAGCAGGGAACAGGGAAGGCCGGTAGGCTAGAAGACACGATTGAAAAAGAGGAAACTGGGGTGCAGTTGGTCACCCTGTGGTTATGCCAGGCTCTTGCTGGCCAGAGCTCTCCTTGGACTTACTGGAAACCCTGGCCATGGGCCATGGGGGCTGCAGCAGCTTATAGCCAAGCCTGGTACCTGTAGCATCAAGAACCAGGTTCCATGTGGTGAGTAACCATCCTGCAACAGGGACTAACAGGGGTAGGACAGCAGTGGGTTTGGGGGAGGGGATCGGGGCAGCAGAAAAGCAACAGACCATCCCTCTCTCTCTCCACCTTGCAGTCAACCCTCATCCCGAGCAGGCAGAGGGGCAAGCTGCTTTCTTTACATATTTGTTATACAGAGATCTGTAGTCATAAGAAGTCACCCCAAGGGAGCCACTTATAGCCAAGCCCTGGGGACAGGAGAAACAGATGGAAGTGTTTGGACTCCTGTGCCAAAGGCACAGCCATTTCTAAACTGTAGATTCCAGCCCTCCACCTCGCACCCCAGGGGGCCTCCCTGATGCAGACTCGGATGGGTGGGGTTGGGAAATTCAACTTTGAAAACTTGCACTTGGGGCTGACCTCCAAGGACCAGCCCTAAGAAGGGTTCCCTCCCACATCTTCCAAGGTCACCCAGGGAGGATGATGTTCCACCTGGGCAGCCCTCCAGCTGGAGGCCTTCCCACTTGGGACACCCCTGGCTCCCACCTTGGCCCATCTTTCCGGGAGCCTCCCACACCACCGCCTGTCTGGGGCACAGTGAGGTGAGAGGAAGGCTGCAGTTTGTGCTGGGCACACCCAGATCTGTGGCTTCCTGCCAGCCTCCAATGCTGCGGGGCCAAGAGGCAGGTTTCAGAAGTGCCAGAGTCTGGGAGGATGGACCAGAGCCAGGAGGAGAGGAAAAATTTGGACTGGACATCTGGGGCCAGAGAGCATGAAGCTGGGGCAGATGCCCCAAGGCTGGGTCACCTGCTTTTCTGAGGAAAAGACTTGGCAACTGAGGGTGGTTGGGGAGGTTTGCCCCTCCTGTGAGCCATGTTTGAGCTCCCTCACCATGACCAAGTCCAAGGGAGGGCTTCTGGAGGCAGGCCCTGAAGAGCCAGTAGAATGCCAATTACCACCACCTTAGTGCGCCTGAGCTCAGCTGTCGCCACATGGCTCCCTGTTGCCCCAGCTCCTAGCATGGGGGTGGATGTGTGCTCAGTACTGTTACAGTGTGTCAGACAGGTGGGGGTTCAAATCCCAGCTCCCCTGCCTCTGTGTGGCCATGGGCAAGTGGCTTCACCACTCTGGGCTTTAGTTTGCTCATCTATAAGAGGGCTGTCGTAGCACCTGGCCTGTGAGGTCTTAGCGCAGTGCCTGGCACTTAGCAGGAACTCAAAAAACATTGCCAGCTTCACCCATTCCTTCAGACTCTGTCCTTGTCCCAAAGCCTTGCCTCCTGAGCATTTTCTTCCCATGCAGCATTAAAGGCATTCTGTGCCATAACTCCAAAGCAAGACTCATGGTGGACTCCCGATCTCTTAAGCAAGTATGGGGTGCCTTTAAGAGTCTCATCCCAGCAGTGAATATTCCCGCTACTCTTAATTTGGAATAATTGGGACAGGCTAAACATTTGCTATATAAAAACATGCACGTGTCCACAGACTTAGTGCTTTCCCTAGGTTTGGTTTTATAAATGCTGGTGATAAGCCAGGTCTGATTTATTACATGATCATTTTGTTTATTTTGTGTGATTGTACACCAGTGGTGATTCTGGGTTATATTTGGTCAACCCTAAGAAAAATGACAGTACAGCTAATGTAATAATTTTTGCCAATAATTGGTGCTAATTTGCAGATTTTTGTCTAAAGGCATAATCAAAGTAGGGAAATTTTGTGATCACAAGTTCTCATTAAATCAATTGTAAAATTATTGCATTAAAAAAAGAATAGCACCATCAAAGTTAAATTAATATGGAAATCTAGATGATTGCTATCTAAAAATAAACTTAACATTAAACTTAAGTATCATTCAAAAAAAAAAAAAAAAGAGGCCCATCCCAGGCCTGGTGCAGTGGCTCACACCTGTAATCTCAGAAATCTGGGAGGCTGAGGCAAGAGGATCCCTTGAGCTCATGAGTTGGAGACCAGCCTGAGCAAGAGCAAAACCCTGTCTCTACTAAAAATAGAAAAAGTAGCTGGTGTGGTAGTGCTCACCTGTAGTCCCAGCTACTGGGGAGGTTAAGGCAGGAGGATCACTTGAGCCAGGAGTTTGAGGTTGGTTTGAGCTATGATGATGCCACTGCACTCTAGCCAGGGTGACAGAGCAAGACTCTGTCTCCAAAAAAGAGAGAGTCCCAGCTCGGCGCCTGTAGCTCAGCAGCTAGGGCACCAGCCACATATACCAGAGCTGGTGGGTTAAAACCCAACCTGGGCCTGCCAAACAACAATGACAACTACAATAACAACAACAACAAATAGCTGGGCATTGTGGTGGGTGCCTGTAGTCACAACTACTTGGGAGTCTGAGGCAAGAGAATCATTTAAGAGTTTGAGGTTACTGTGAACTGTGATGCCACGGCACTCTACCAAGGGCAAAATCGTGAGACTCTGTCTCAAAAAAAAAAAAAGAAAAGAGAGAGAGAGAGAGAAAGAGTCCCATCCCAAAACAGGGATGTCAGCCACCTCTTGGGACCCTGCTTGTGTCTGGCTTTTCCTCAAAAGGGGTTGACTTCTAGCTGCCACAGGAGGCTTGGAGCACTGTCCTGGGGTCCCTATGAAATTCTTTGGAATCCCAATGTAGAAGCGACTGGATTGAAGGGGAGAGGCTGGGCAGCAGGGAGTGACCTCAATAGGTGATGTAGCCTGACCAGGGCAGGGCCAGGAGAATGCAGATGGAGGAAGAAGATCGTGGACAAGGTGTGGGGACTATATCTTGGTAAAAGTGTGGGGAGAAGGTGGACTTCAGCCTGAGAGAGAGTCCAGGACAGGGACTTGGTTTGGGCTTGATCTATGGGAACAGAGGCAAGAGGAAATTTGGTGGTTTGAGAGAAACATTTGTTTGAAATATTCGTGACTTACTGTCAGTTTTCTCATCTGTCCATTGGGAGTGAACAAACACCACTAGCAGGATCACCCCTCCATAGAATAGCTGCGAGCTGAGTTCTTTACACACAATGGAGGGACCAGTGCCTAGCCTGATCTAAGTGTTAGCTTACGCTGCTATTGAGCTTTAGGCTGGCATAATCCACATACCTAGCTTCTCAGTAGGCATTTTCTGCCCAATCCTTTCCATGGCCCAGAGTCTTTCCTGGACTACTCCTATCTACCGAGACTTTAGGCCCTGGGGGATATATTATATTTTGCAAAACTGGGCCAGGTACGGTGGGTCACCCTGTAATACTAGCATTCTGAGAGGCCGAGACAGGTGGTTTGCTTGCGCTCAGGAGTTCAAGACAAGCCTGAGCAAGAGCAAGACCCCTATCTCTACTAAAATAGAAAAGTCAGCCAGGTTTTATGGAGGGCACCTGTAGTCCCAGCTACTTGGGAAGCTGAGGCAGGAGAATTGCTTGAGCCCAAGAGTTTGAAGTTGCTGTGAGCTACAATGATGCCACAGCACTCTACCCAGGGTGACAGAGTGAGATTGTCTCAAAAGAATAAACTAATTACTTAATTAATTAAAAAAATATTTTCTAAACCTGACCACTATAATATTTTCAGTCCCACATGCTCTTCCAAAGTTTTATCTCTCCTCATAAAGAGATGTGGTGAAGAGAGAGTCTCCTCCCCTTGGGCATAGCCGGGCCCTCAAGAGTCCCTCAAGTAATAGCATATAGCAGAAGGAATTCTAGGTCATAAAAACAAGGCTTTCTGTCTTGGGACATGCATCTTTGGAGCCCTGAGTGTGGCATGTTGGAGAAAAGACCACACAGCATCAAAAAGAGACACCTGGGGAGCCCTAGCCATTGAGTCTCACCAACCATGTGAGCAAAAATACCTGTGAGATCATCCAGCCCCAGCTCATATCTGACTAGAATGTCACGAGCAACCCTAAAACAAAACCACTCAGTCAAGCCATTCCTGAATTCCTACCCCCTGGATACCTTGAGAATTAACAATTTTCCTTATTTTAAACCACTAGGTTTTGAGGTGATTCATAATGCTACATCAGCTAACCAGAGCACATTGCACTGCCACTGTGCTTCAGTCAGCTTTTGCTGTGAAACAATTCACCCCAAAACTTAGTAGCTGCTCACATAGCTCATGATTTGTTGGGTCAGCTGGGTGATTCCTCTGGTCTGGACTAACTCAATCAATCTTTGCTGGGGTCACTAATGAATTCACGGTGCCCTGTCATGAGAGCTTCACAAGAATGTGCCCTTTCCAGGGAACAGGATACCACTGTGTCAAGTGAGGGTACTCTTACCAAGGTGGCAGTCTCTATCACCAAGATGGTGGGGGTCCTCACCAAGATGGCAAATGACCTTATCAAGATGGCAGATTCCCTCACCTAAGATGGTGGGTTCCCTCTCCAAGATGGTGACTATCCCCACCAAGATGGTACATACTTTCATCAAGATAGAGCACATTCCATAGCCTGATCCCCCATCCAGACCTTCCAACTACTCATCTAGTAACACCTGGGATCAGAAAATTATTCTTTGACAGGCCAAAGAGGTTACTTAAACTTAACAACAAGGCTTGAATGCTCAGGAGGCTGAGGAAGGAATATTCCCTGGTGCCCAGGAGTTTGAGGCACAGTAAGATTTGATTGTGCCATTTCACTCCAGCCTGGGTGACATAGAGACCTTGTCTCTAGAAAGGGAAGGAAAGGAAGAGAAGGGAAGGGAAAGGAAGGGAAATAGAAAGAGAAAAGAAGAGGAGAGGAGGAGAGGGAAGGGAAGAGGAAGAGAAGAGAAGAGAAAAGAAAAGAAAAAAGAAAATTTGGAGCGTGAATGAGGGGGCCAACAGGGAACAAAAAAGCCAGAATCTTTCAGAGACAAGAAGTGGAGATGCTTCCGTCACTAGGGGGCAGCACCCTCATGGATGAGAGCTGGAGCTCTCTCTGTCTCTGTCTGTGTGTCTCTCTCTGTCTCTCTGTGTCTCTCTCTGTGTCTCTCTGTCTCTCTCTGTCTCTCTCTGTCTCTCTCTGTCTCTCTCTCTCACACACACACACACACACACAAACACACGCTCAGTACACAGAGAGGTGAAGACACAAACTTGCAGAAACACAGACAGCTCTCATGCATACCAGAAACAGATCTTCCCTAAGCCACAAACAAGTCATGTAGACCCAATCTCACAAATCCAATGTGGTATCTCACACACTCTCACACACACACAAAGAGAAGGGATCATGGAGGCTTTTAAAACTACCTAGATCAGTGTTTTTCAACCTTTTGTATCTCATGGCACACTTGAATGCACAGTTAAATTTCCTTAGCACATTAAATTATGTTGATAAAAAAGAAAAGAGTAAAAAAAGAATATACTTACTGTGCTTTGAACTGCTTTAGAAAATCACTTAATTAACAATCTTTAAAATTTTCACAGCACACCTAAGATCCTGTCATGGCACATCAGTGTGCTGTGGTACATCCGTTGAAAATTACTGACCTATGGCTTGGCACCTGTGGCTCAAGTGGCTAAGGCGCCAGCCACATACACCTAAGGTGGTGGGTTCAAATCCAGCCTGGGCCCCCCAAACAACAATGACAGCTGCAACGAAAAAATAGCTATGCATTGTGGCGGGTGCCTGTGGTCCCAGCTACTTGGGAAGCTGAGGCAGGAGACTCGCTTGAGCACAGGAGTTGGAGGCTGCTGTGAGCTGTGAT